CAGCAAGAGCCCTAATAAGGAACACATAACACTAACATAGAGAAGTTGGATTGGTTGTTGTGACCACATTCTCATTCTCCTTTTCTGGCTCCTGTGACGAACTATACATAGAAATGGATCAGTAGTTAACCAAATGCTATTGTAGGAGGTTGCCAGATTTGGAAGTAGAGTCAAAGCTACAAAGCTCCAACAAAAGGCGCCTTTTGGCTTTCTTTGTAGAATGAAAATGCTGGATGCTCCCGTATAAATGACTGGTGATCATACCCACTTCTGCCTTTCATAGTTTTAATGGAGGTCACCAGAAGACCATTTGATTTATTTATTGATGTTGAATGAGAAAGTGAGATTGGAGCGATCGCATTCCAATCACGAGGTTTCGGAAAGCAGAATTCGGACCCCAGGATTAAAGCTTTCTTGTCAAACTCGGAGAAGGGACCATCCTCTCCCTCCACTGCTCATAGAAATACAACAAAACCTATGTAAAACTCAGCAATAAGCCAAGAAAATACTAGCTTGCATTTGCAATATTAAAGAACAAATTTTAGACAAATGTTGCATTTTTTTATCGGTTGATCGAATATAAATTTATATGATCAAAGATATCGATGTAATATATTTCATCAAAACAGTCAGAATATCCTTTTGCCATAAATTTCTTAATTTTTCACCATCGATTCGACTCGCGTTGAATCTAACCAAGCGACCGGACTATGGACTCACCTCCATGCGACACCGTCCATAACCTTATTTCGTTATTTTATGACTGTGTATTGTCAAACTTTATGGGAAGCGGCTGGAGCACGAGGAACGCATAGGATATGAGTACATAGTAACTAAACTGAGCACAGTATATGTTTTTTTTTCTCTCTCTAATGATGCACAGAAAACATGTGGGTTTGCAAGCAGCACACTTATTCTATCTACGGGACAATCATTTAGTCATGAGACAATTTCCGACCCTCATGCTAGGTTCTCAATTAAAAAACATTCATACGCTTTCCCATGTTACGCTTTTAGAACCTACTAGTCTAGGTGGATTTGAATAGAGATATATTAATTTATATAGTGGATCCACGTGATGTAGAGAATGTTGGGTTGAGTGCAACATCGCAAGTTAGTGGAGAGTGCTTGAGTGGAGAGGTCGTCAATAAGTCGTATAACTAGGAGTACAAACATGGATTGTCATGAGACGTTAACATCTGATGTCAGTGATCCCCAGTTCCTCCAACTTTGGAGCTCGATCCGGCTCGTCAAGCTGGCCAGTTTTCGAGCGGAGACTGTTTCTAGTATATTTATGCATGTGTCCGAAATCGAGATGGGGCTCGATCGTGAGTGAGGAACGGAGGAAACGGAGCAAATGTGAGACGCAAGTCTTTGCTCGGGTTCCCGACCCGCACATTCGTGGTTCGTCGATCCTGCATCAAAGTGTGTGTCACTGAGCAGGAGACAAGCACATGACCTCCAACCTGACAACAATTAAAAAGTCACGTGGTAAACGGAGATGGACGAAGAACACATGTTTTTCTGATATTCGGCCACAAGTTGACCCGGGGAACTGAATGAACTGAAGAATCGACAAGATCCGAGTGTTCTTTTCTTAATTGCGTCAATCCTTTTGGCGGAGTTCTCTGCGCATTCTGTAACGTTCCTTTTGTGGTTGTTGCTGCATCCACTCGTCTTTCATCCACAGCGTAGGAATGCCAGTCTTTATAGTTCAGACAGTACAAAAGCCCAGCAGAGATATTCTGTCGGAGCTTAAGTTGGCTTCAGGAATGATGTTCAAAGTGATGATGATATTTTCTAAGCAAGAATTCGAGGCCCTCGGTTTTTCCTCTTTAAAAGTTAAAGCTGACACGCTTGCTGTGGATTCTTTGAAAAGCAAACATTTCGTTGACCGAATGATGCAATTCGTGGTCTGCATTGAACATCCCAGTATCCTGGAGAGCCCCGGAATCTTAAAAGTGAAGAGGTTTTTGATGGCAAGCAGTTCTCAACCATGGCCACCAATCTGCAATCTCAATGACAGAGAGTGAAGATATTACTTGTGTGAAGAGAATGAATTTGAGAGGTGAAGAGTCAAGTTATCGTTGAGAGTATTTGTGTTTTGGAAAGGTCTAATACTTAGGCTCCATTTGATTAAATTAAAATGTGAAAGTCATGTTCCATCGAAGCAAATAATGTACAGCAAAAAGGTAAAGAAGCTCCATGAAGCCGCTTACGTCTGTTAACTCATGTAACCTCGAAGACTTCATATGGAGTGTTGTTGTCGAGTAAGAATGTGCGTCCTTTAAAGATGTACAAAGGATATCAAATTATGAATGCAATATACGAATCACGTACTAGCTGTGTCAACTCCTGAACCCATTTTTCTTTTCTTCTTTCTCCGTGATCCTTTGGAACTGCAGTGGACGTAAAACCGCTGTTCCGAGGAGATATTCACCAAGTCCGAGAAGATAAAAAGTACAGGTCTTGCAAGTGGCACCTTCGTCTGCGTGTGGCCATATGGACATTCCGAGAGTGCACACGCCAACGCTCTGTAACACTGATCGCAAGCACGGGTCTATATGGCCTTAAAACTGACTTCGAGACAGAAATCTTGTACGCAGCGATGATTCGGCACACTTTAACACTGAAAGGAATCAAATACCTCCCAGAAGCTGGTAAACTCTGACCAGCGTAAACGTATGTTTTCTTTAACATAGTCAACTCTGGCCAGATCTGGGTGCACTGCAGGCGGATGGTTGAAAAGTTTTGAAATCGAGATGCCCCTGTAGAGAAACGTGAACTCAGTCGATTCCAAAGTAGTGTAAGTTAGTAGTTGGATCCCTGTGAGATCCAAACGATCTGCATCTCACAAATGCCTGATCATCAAAGCAAGAGATTGCCCGGTCCGAAGAAGCTCAGATGCAGGACCCCGTTGGTTGAATGTTGAGCCTGCACGCAGCACGGAACTCCAGTGGCCACCGTCAGTAAGGATTAAGAAAGATTTCCGCTCTGCCTGTACATCACAAGATGATTCTTCTTTATAATTCAAGTCAGGGCCTATCCTGTCATACCCGTGGCAGTCAGAGGTCGTGCTCAGCTACTGCAAAGTTTGAATACACACATCCATTTCCGTTTTCTGGAGTCGCCAATGGCTGAAGATTTCTGCGTGTAGGTAGACAGAGATGATGCAGACGTGCATCGTCGTCGAAATGGTCAACTTGTACCAGTGGGTACAACTTGCACTACTGAGTCCTCGACGATAGATTTCAAGCTTCCAGGCTGGTTTTGGAGAGGTACCGAGATTGCATGTCTGCTCGTCTCCAACTCCTCTTCCGTGCGTGTAAAGTTAGATCTAAAATCAGTCGACGACGTAAGCGAATGCTTAGTACGTGGGAATAAATATGAAGAATCGGGTTCAAACCTCCAGACACGGAACTAATCTCACGAAGCTTAGCTGATTAAACATCTCACTGAATCCTCCCTCCGATACCGCCGGGCCACTACCTTTATGCGAGGTTGGAACAGTTCGACTCGAAAGAGAAGTCAGTCGCCAACCATGGACAGCCGGCGAGGTTCCAGGCTGCAAACATGATCGACGAGGAGTCGAGGACACCGTAAGGTTCCACGAATCTTTCCCACATGTTATTCGCACCTTGCAAATGAGAGATCCGTGATGTGGGGGAACTGTCCCTGGACATGACTACAACTCCTCGGAGGAGGAGCAGCTACAGAGCGACTCTGTTTTCTTTCCCCTTATGGGCTAAGCTTAATCAAACCAGGCAAGTGTACCGAGTCGCCACCAAGTGCCAACTCAAGTTGCTCCATGGCGACTCAAGTTGAAGTTTACTGCTTTCCGAGAGTGAGGTAAGCCACAAGATTCATGAACTCTCACTTCCAAGTGCTCAAAGATTCATGAACTTCCAACTCGTACGTGCTCAAGAAACCGAACGCCATCCATCACTGCCATCCCATGGACAGATCTACAGATGGAGATTTACAGAATAGGCGAGATTTACAGAACAGTGCGCCCATGGAGGTCTGATTTTGTCGCATGAACCGGGAGAATTATTTCTTCACAGAAAAGCAAGCGGATGAAAAACAAAATAGCGGGAAAAGAAAGAGGCCCAAGGGGACAATTTTGAGCGGTGCAGAGGGGTTCGCGATGGGAGGTGCAGTGACTGCTGGTGGTGAGCCCACATGGACTCTGGCATCCGTAGAGAAGTGGGAATAAAGCGCGGGGAGGACACTGCAGAGTTGTGGGAATCTCCAAGCCGCTGGGAACGGTGTGTGACAAGCAATATTCTGCTGTGAACCTCTAATATGTCGAGTTTGTTCGCCTAGTGATTCTGATCCCAATATTCAAAGACGAGTACAGTCGAGATGGTGAGACAACAGCGCCCGAGCGCTTTCTAGATCTACATCTGGATGCAATCGTGGACCACACAATTGGGAACCGTGAAAAAGCAAGTGACGCAGTTTTCTTACAAGGAGCCCGGAGGTTTCAGAATGTCTGATCATCAGCACGTAGTCGCCGTGAATCAAGTCGATTGATGCAGGGAGAGTGCATGGAATAAAACCATCGTTGTTTATATTTAGACTCGTCCTGAAGGGTCCGGTGGACATCGCGCTGGCTCGGGGTCTCGCTTCGATTCGCAAGGACTAGCAATTATCAAAATTAGCCTCGCGACTCGACCAGGGCCAATATGAAAGAGGGTGTTTGGGGCTCCGAATCGCCAACAACCGACTGACCCTTCAGAAGCCCTCGACAGACAACGATCGTGGGCTTGGCAGGTCGAGTCGGAAATGAACCTCATGCTACAGAGCCTCGAACGATCGGACTCGAAGGGCCTCGCAGGCGGAAAGGATATCAGCGAGCCGAGGCCCCGGTGCTCACTGCTTGAGATTTCCCATCTCTCGTCCCTTGCAGCAGCGCAGCTCGGACCTTCTGTAGTACAGTAGGCAGCAAGCTCAGACAACAATTCCCGCACGGAGGACGGCCCGAGGGTGCAGCAACCATGGCGTCGTCGTGCGTCGAAAATGAGGAGGGCTTCCTCATCGATCTGCTGCTCACGGGAGGTCTCAGCTCTGCAAGTGCGGTCCAGGTCGGAGAATTCTTGTGCTCCAAGCTGGGCGGCGTGTCCAACAGATTCTCGAGCCACACGCTGGCCATCGACAATGTGTACCTGCTCTTCTCGACCTACCTCGTCTTCTCGATGCAGATTGGCTTCGCCATGCTGTGCGCGGGCTCGGTGCGGGCCAAAAACACCATGAACATCATGATGACCAATGTCCTGGACGCAGCCGCGGGAGGCATCTCGTTCTATCTGTTCGGATTCGGCTTCGCCTTCGGGCGCAGCGAGCACAACAATTCGTTCATCGGCAGCAATTTCTTCAGCCTGCACAACATCCCCGACCGATCGAACGGATTCGACTACAGCTTCTTCCTCTTCCAGTGGTCGTTCGCCATCGCCGCCGCCGGCATCACCAGCGGCTCAATCGCCGAGCGTACGCAGTTCGTCGCCTACCTGGTGTATTCGTCGTTTCTCACCGGCTTCGTGTACCCCATCATCGCGCACTGGATGTGGTCGGTCGACGGCTGGCTGGGCGCCACCGGCCCCACGCGGTTGTTCGGCGTGGGCGCCATCGACTTCGCGGGCAGCGGCGTCGTCCACATGGTGGGCGGCATCGCGGGCCTCTGGGGGGCGTACATCGAGGGACCGCGCATCGGCAAATTCACCCGCGACGGCTCGCCCGGCATGGACATGAAGGGGCACAACGCGTCGCTCGTCGTGCTCGGCAGTTTCCTCCTCTGGTTCGGGTGGTTCGGGTTCAACCCGGGATCGTTCGTCAAAATCCTGGTGCCGTATGACGGGTCGGACTTCGAGGGCAACTGGACCGGAGTCGCCCGCACCGGCGTCACTACCACGCTGGCCGGCTGCGCGGCCGCGCTCACCACGTTATTCGCGCGCCGCTACTACACGGGCCACTGGAACGTGGTTGATGTGTGCAATGGCCTGCTCGGGGGCTTCGCTGCTATCACGGCCGGCTGCTCCGTGGTCGACCCCTGGGCTGCGCTGCTCTGCGGCTTCGGGGCGGCCTGGGTGCTCATGGGCTTCAATTACATGGCGGACGTGTTCAAGTACGACGATCCTCTGCAGGCGGCGCAGCTGCACGGCGGCTGCGGGGCATGGGGGCTGCTCTTCACGGGCCTCTTCGCCAACGAGAAGTACGTGCTCGAGGCATACGGGCCAGGCCGGGGCCACGGCTACCTCCTGGGCGGGGGCGGCAATTTGCTCGCCGCGCAGCTCGTGTCGATTCTGGTGATTTTCCTGTGGGTGACAGTGACCATGGTGCCGTGCTTCTGGTTTCTGAACAAGAACGACCTGCTGAGGATCGACACCGACGACGAATTGGCAGGTATGGATCTCACGTGCCATGGTGGCCCGGCTTATTACAATGACGATCAGCCGTACCACTCGTACGCAGAATACCTCGACCAGAAATACGAAAAGACTCGGGGCCGGCGACACGGGGGCGACCAGCTGGCGTGAGGCTCTCGGCTCTCGGACATTGTATCAGTAGTAGAGATCTGTAGATTCAATTTCTCACACATTAGTCGCACGCGAAGAGGTTGTAGCATGCGCCTCCGGACAGACAGACAGTGGCCCGGAGCAAAATTCCAGAGCTCGGGGCTTTCGAGGATATGGCCAGATCCACCGATCAATTGATCATATGTTTAGCTTCATGCATGCTACCTGACGTGCACTGACCCTAGCTAGGTCCTTAGTCCTCTGTATTTAGTGCAAACCACATTTCCATTGCAATTATAGGCGTTCTGCGGGCGCAATTCTCCATGTACGCGCCTTTTACCTCATCTCTCTCTCGCTTTCTCTCTCAACCACTAGCTTTCTCAAGCAGAAAAAACTCTCCTCCACTTCTTACTGATGACATGCGGCCACTCTCTAGATTTTGAATTGGCTCCAAAAAACTAGAAATTTTGCCTCCCTTGGTGTGTACGAAACCAGTTTTGACGGTCACAGTCAATCTTGAGAAGGAAAACTGGTTCCTTCGGCGTACTCAAAAAGTCATGACTCTTTATCGAGAAGGCCGAATTTCAAGCAGCGGGAGCTTTGTCTTCGGCGTTGGGCCCGATTCTGGGTTTTGGTGGTCGGACACGCAAAGCAAGGACGTTTGATCGGAAGACAGGGGCGGATTGCAGTTCAACACAGCACGTGCATTTACGTGTCGAAGTCCCATGCCACAAACTTGGACAACTGTCGCATAGATTTCCAGCTTCGTCTCGTCATCAAAGCTACATTCCAACATCCTTGGGTGGATATTTTTGAGGTACTATGAGCTTCAAGGTCGGAATCTTGATTAATGACAGTACACATGCCTCATAAGCTAGAATTCTATGTTGAACTGGTCGAATATACCTTCATCAACTCCTTGCTGCTTCGTCGATTACCACCTCTGTCCTGGTTGGGTGAGGCGAGGAGCCTCTTTTGAGAGTTTCCGATATCTGCAACGAAGCCAACAGCTGCGTGAGGTGTATGCAGAGAGGTACATTGTCCTTGCATCTCATAGCACAGCCACATACTCAATTTACATTCGATCTGAGATGCCAGAGGCTGACATTCACTGCGGCTCGTCTTGACTTCAAGTTGGATCTTGAAATCTGAGCATCAGTAAGAAAAAAAAATTGTCTACGGACCTTCATCTGTGTTATCAACTGCCGGACGGTCACGGTTGGATGATGTTTCTTACTTTCGCGTTACGGGTGCGAGGATGATGGTCCAGTGTAAAATGACGAGGTGCATAGGCACCATGAATGACACACTGGACGAACAAAGGGCACTTCACTTTGGGCTCAATCATATCATTGGAGGCGTCCGACTCTTCATCCTGGCACTGAGTTGGGAAGATGGGAGAACTTTATGAAAACATGCGAGATTTTTGTAAATATATATTTAACAGGTCGACGAGCACGAAAGCTTTAGATTGCTTTCATCTCTGTATTATATTAGGAGCAACTTTCCCCGCTCTTCAGGAAAGCTTCACAAGTGGCTCATAGAGCCATTTTGCACAGGGTATCAAGCTAGGCATGCCTACTAAATGCTTGAAAGCCTGTGTTTTGTTTGTGAGCTTCTTTCCTTGGAGCGAGATGGAGTCTCAGCAATGACTCACTCTGTACATGTCGAGTCCGAAGGCCGTAATTAGAGGACTTCGTAGACTTCGAATCCATTCAATGAGCTACTAAATCTTGGTCTGTAAGCGCCAACCTCTAGCCATTCTATCTGATTCTTAAGCCAAGATGCCGTGAGAACATGCAACAATTGTTCCAGAAAGTTGCTCTCTGAACCTCCTCCTGCTGATTATCTGGATTGTCAGTGACAAGTTTCGTACACTAAAAGTCTTTCAGTACTGATTCTTGTCTCTTTTCTGGCTGCTCTCGCTAACCTACCTCCTAGTAAAAGAGAACAGAACAAGGATTGTCTTCAAGCAGATGGGAATGTGGTGGTACATCAAAACACTCCATCAGCTGAGCTTCATCTGTAGACGTTTCGGGTTTCTTTGCTCTGCCTCCACGATATATCCGTCCATCCGCTAAACTTGGAACTTGCCTTTCCTACTCATAACTCTGATGACCTTTCTGATGTTTCATCCCTTTGAGAGAACCAACAATACTGAAATGGTAGACTCTGATGCCACCAAACAAGGCCATCCGTCGATTTCAACATCATGGAGTAGAATTCTCGATGACTATGATTGCGGACCAACTTACATTCGAATGAACATGAGGGCATCCAAACTTCTGTATCAAGGGGAAAGTTGACATGCACTTCCCGATTCAGACACCAAAAAGCCTCTAATATTGGTCATCGCGTAAGAAATCCTTTGGGCCAAGAAGTTTAAATGTTTCTACTACCTTCCAACTTGCTCAGTGATTCTCTTGGGATCCTGAATTGGCTGGAAACAAGCCCTAGGACCATGCATCTAAGACTTCTCATCAGAAGGACAGAAGCACAGAAACACAGACCGCTTATTATTAAGATTGACGATCAGGTGGATTTATGTACGTGGTACTGATTGTGCCAGAAAACGAAGCCATCAAATGATCACTTGTAAGGCTTCAAAAAACCAGCTGACGATGTGAGTCGAAACGCAACTGATGAATCTACCTCCTGAGCACAAAATTAGGGCCAAATGCAGAAGAGGTAAAACGTTACAACAGACATACTTGTACTTACTGGACCGTGTAACTTACACATGAAAAGCACAACCTATGAAATCATGGGACATTACTTTTTCATAGTTTCTGTTCAACCCTCATCTGGTCGAACATCTGGCGGCTGCTAATACTACGTAGAACATGCCCAGCATTTTATTTCCCAGCCAAATCTCGTCGAAAGATTTGGAAGCACCTGTCATTGGTCATATCAATTTCAAGACTATTTTATGAGCCTGGGACAGCTAGCGACCCGGATGATACCGCTGGAAGACGATGTGTTGAGATGTTGCGGGTTTCATGCTGCAGTTACAGAAGAGGAGGCGGAGGAAACTTAATCAGGGGAAGGCGTCGTCATTGGAGCCCGGGTCGGAGGTGTCATGGGAGCCCGAATGGAAAGAGGAGCAATTGATATTGTAGGGGGTGGTGGATCCTGGAAAATTGTGCGTGGAGGCAGAGGAAGCGGAGAGGGTGGAGGGCGAGGAAACGGAGCAGGAGGAGGACGTCTACTGAAAGGGGGTGGAGGGTGAGGAAATGGAGGAGGAGGAGGACCTCTACTGGAAGGGGGTGGCAGAGGATGATTGGGATCTCGACAACATGGAGGAGTAGGTGGGCGGGGGAGTGGGACTGCTGTTGGACTCTTCGGTGCCCAGAGAGGATGTGCTCCTCGAATATGGCCATAAATCGGTGGTGGTGCAGAGACAGGAAACTGAGGAGGAGGATTCTGGTCTGAAACTGATCGTGGCTTTCTCATCAGCCAGTGGCTTCCGAGATGGTTGTCAATAGCATCACCATCTGGGACTAGAGCGGACTCTCCAGCCTGCAAACTGAGCAGACAGAAAAACAGTAATCTAACAGTAATCTGCAAAACAGTAAAGGTGCGACGGGCAGAGTATCCCGCATCATGTTCAGATCTCATACCCATCTTGTGAACTCAAAACAAACCAGCACTGGCACAAGGTCACTTCATGGATACCAGTCCAGTGATGATGGCTCCAGTACCAAGTCGGACGTGTAGACTGAGCAGCTGCAGTGCAGTGCAGGTGCTGTGGCACGCTTCGAGTGAAGATTGGTCCTTTTAGAAAAACTGAGCCGAAGGAGCGCAATACAACTATGTCGGTTTTCAGATTGATATCCAACCATACTGTTTTGTGAATATAATTGATCCCCGTCCGTGCTTATATAGGAAATGGCATGACACGCCGTGTCTTTCCTATAACACTAAGAACGAGGAAAAAATGTTGCTGTCCGTGCATGTGCATATACAAAATCATAATATAGAATCGCGTTAATTTTTTCAAGCGTTGTATTCATGGCAGAAAAAGTCTTTGATCATGTAAGTTTTTCCTATGTGCCATTCAACCATGACAGCCAGCGTAATGGATCTTGATATGACAGACTCGATAGCGTCTTGAACCTTGGTTCCCAAGGTCAACGTGTTGCATAAACTATCACTGAATCAATGGAGATAGTTTGAGGAGATTATACACCACGTAGCACGAATAAGGAGTATGAGTGGAAGGTTTTCTCGAGAGGAAATCCGTTCTTGATACAGTCGCTTCTTGACAGAGGTGAAAAACGTGATCTCTTAAGTACCGGTATTTTCACTTGATTATGCACACTCATATCCTCTTGTAGGTAGGCCTGGCTTAGGAAGAGTACATGATCAATTTAAGCTGTTTGTCTCAAGATGAATCCTTCAAGAACTTCTTCTGTGAAGAGGTGTCAACGTTCAAGAAGAGGAAGTCCCGAATCGGAAAAATCTGTAAAACACGTACAGAGAGGCTAATCAGATTTTGAAGCATTTAAGAAGTTAACTGATTGATTGGTGAGGAATGCAGCAGGATAAGATCATTTGATTTCCTTAGTGCTGGAAAGTACCTTTGAAACATGCGAGATGAAGAATTGGTCTAAGAACCATACCTGGCGACTTGTTCGAAAATACACGTCCAGTTTGTAACCTGATGTCTGCATAGCACATTATGGCATAGTTTGAATTTTTCCTGAGTTCCATGCAAATACTCTACCGTCGTCAAAACACGTGTTCTTGACAACCCTGAGATCTTCGTAGACGAAGATTTCTTCATCTCTTGAGATTTGGGCTTCTCATTTGCATGTTTACGTAACGAAAGACTCAAAAACTGTCGTGAAGCTTTTCCAGCTGTAGCTGCTATGCAAAGTCAATGCTCCAACACCAAAAACCGGCTGAAGACACGCATGACGCATGATTTACGCAAATCCAAGGTCAGCACCGGGAAAATTGATTCTAATTTATTGGAATAGCATATAGAGAAGGTTCTGTTTGATGTTCTTTTTTCAGGTTTATTTCATGTGCATTTTTTATTACGAATGCAAGACCAACTCAGGGCTCGACCTTCAACAAACAAACATGACGCATGCACGCATTACAAGGTGTTTTGACTGCAGCACAACCTTCCAGCTTTTGGCAAGCTATGGGCTCTGATCTGAGCAAGGAGCCAGATGAAGAAACTGAAATATTACCAAACCACCTCCGTGCTCTGCTGGAATTGAAAACTTAAGATTTCAGAAGACAGTATTTTCCATTTACGAAGACCTTCTTTGAGTCCAGACTCATCCATTTCAAATTGACGTTGTCAAGTAACTCTGGCAAAGTTACACTATGGTTGAAACTCTCCAAGCCGGTGGAATAGCAATTTGAAATATTAAAAGGGAAATAATATCCCAAGATTCAATTATTTTCACTGGTGTGTCCATTTATGTTCGTTGCTGACAGTTTCCATCAAACTCCGATTTCTCTCACTCTTATTTAAGTCTGGAAGAGTCTCTTCATATCCTCCCAATCTTGCGTAGGTTAGCAGCTCATCAGTGGACCCGCGTCGGAGATTTAATTTCTCAGCCTCAGCACAGTCCGTGCTAGGTAGCACGAGCCCTCGAGAGAGCGATAATAATGAAGGACCTTCATGGTTAATACTGCTTCCATCTATTATGCTAATTTACATCTTTGGTCAATTTCTGATCGTTAAATTATTCTCAACGTGCGTTTTATATAAAGATATGCTCTCTCTCGAGAAGGATAATACTCGAACTCTTGTCAGCGTAGTTTCTTATATGCTAAATTACCCGTTGATTCTAATCAGAACTACGGCTTCTAGCATTTCGAATTCTCACATTTTTATTGAGTTGAGGCCTGTGTTTCAAGGCTCTCAAACTTTGACCAGCGTTGATTTGTGTATTTCTTACAATTTAGTCTAGGTCAAACATAGTTCAGTATCAACAGCGGTCCAAAAAATCTGTCCGCCAAATTAGTGATATGAAGAGGTTTGTTCTTCGAGATCCCTCAAAATTATAATTATGTATGTTTGGTAGAACGTTATTCTTACGGATATTAAAGATTAATAGAATTATGTTTCGATACGATGGTGGATTTGCAGCTTCCACACCGGTTAGGTAGTCGGAAGTATTGGTTAGTTAGAGTTGGTTAGTTTTGTTAGCATGCTGTTAGACTTTGATGCATAGATCAAGTTCGAACTTCTTACCATGTTCTTAGTACTATTTCATCGAATATTATCCAGCTTAACTTCAGTTTGTTAAGTTAATGTTGTTTCTGCACCTTATGAAATTTCCTAACTACAATTATCTTGATTTGAGTTGGGAGAGTCAGTTCTCGAGCCTGTGTTTCAAGGCATGCGAGAGACAGGAATAATTCGAATGTATGCAGTTCTTTTGATTCTTAACCCATCTGAGGGTCCACGAGTCTTCTTTTGTTATAAATCCTGCAACGGTTACCTCTCGTTTTGGTTCATTTACTAGTGATTGATGGATGTATGCACTAAAATTCATGTCATTATATTAGTGAGATGGGCCTGTGTTTCAAGGCACCGGTTTTCGGATTATAGGTTAGTGAGCAAGAATTATTAGCTACTTCTTCAGATCCCACCCTGCACGTGTTCATCGTCGATCGATCTTCCAACTATCTAATCTCTCATTCGTTCATATCTCACACATTTGTCATCGCAGTCAGTGTTTGTCTTTCCAAATCGTTACCTTAAGATGTTACCTTTCTGGTGTCTGAGATCTTATCCTATGCGTAGGAATTTTTCTACAAATGCAGTCATGCCAGCACCATGTTGGCATATGCCTCCTTTAAATCGCGGTACCGAACACAATTTTTGCGTACTCAAATTACTACCATACGAGACTTAATTGAAAAAATATATACCTGTATCGGAAGACTGGATGATGAGGTTCGTCATATACTGTACATACCATACACTTCCTGTTTCGAATATCTCACGAAGCATCTACAGCTACCTCAGTGGTCATAAATTAGCTGCCCCTTTTGCGAACTTACCTGCGGTCTCTGTTATCTACATTGAGAGGTACCTTTCTGCTTCAGAACAGTTCACTGCTGGCTACCTCTTTTTGCAACATACCTACCCTTTTCAAGGTTAATTTCCTGCCTTAAGCCACCAACCAAATACCTTACTAATTGAGCATCTGCCACGGCAATGGTCGATTGAGGTTTCTGATGAGCTAAAAACTGTTCATTTTCCACATCCTGCCACTGTCCCTTAGCCTGTGTCTGACCACTATTCGGAATTTACTCTCAGAATCCTTGAATGTGATCCTGATCGATTCTTCTCAGCGCCAGCAGTGCAAGTTCCCTTACCTTCTGCATCCCACTGTGCTTCTCACTCTGACTGCCCTGAGAATTCCTTTTGCCACCGTTCTATCTATTCTAAGCTACGTCCAGCAAGCCAAATCTAAAGTTCCGAAATTCTACATCGATGACATCGATCCAACTACTTCAAAATAAACCTCAGCAATTGCAGACGATCCGTCCATTCATAAACTTCAAACTTCAAATTAGTCACCTACGTAATGCAATCTCTAGTCTAAATTCAGTCCGTTTTCAGCATTTCAACCAGTCTAGAACAAGGAACCCAAAGAAAGCCAATGCAGCAAGAATCTTCTGTCCATTTCCGAACAACTAATAGCATCTAAATCATATAGAGAAATAAAAGTAAATCTAATCCTAGGCATGAAACCGCTCCCGCAGACTTGGACCTAGCTGCCTGTTGAGACCGATAGTCATTGTAGTTCACAAATAAGTTAAGCGCTACCACACGCTGGCACATGGACATTTCGAATTAAATTGCTCTAGTTTAAGGCGATGAACTGAATAATTAACTTACCGCTTATGGTTTCATGTTACTAGAATGTAAGAAAAAAAAAGCCAAAAAGTAAATATAATCAAAGGGGAAGGGAAAAAAAAGACACAAATCAAATTTCTAATCATACACACACTCATATCACATGGCATATACATTAAAAATAAAATAAAAAAATCAACAACACATATCACATGGCATATACATTAAAAATAAAATAAAAAAATCAACAATACATATCACATGGCATATACATTAAAACAATAAAAATTCAACAACAAGCAAGTCTCAATCAGTAACAATGCTGAATCTCGGTGGAATGTGAGATATAAGGAAGTATGTTGCAGAATCGGCGGCCTGTAGGTCAAGGGACACAGTCGATGCATCCCTGCAGTGAGGTCGTTGGTAAAACCAATCGGCGAACAACAGCGGAATTGTGAATTCGTCTTGCTCTTGCCGCCACAATCGAAGCAAATACAGCCAAACCAAACAAATGACGCAAACCTCAATGTCTCCGACGACGTCGCCCATCCTCATCGGAGCGAGCGAGCGAGCGATTGGACGTGCGCGACGAGCAGTGAACAAACACCTTCGAGTCCTGCACGACGCCTTTACGTCGCGGCTCGTCGTCGCGGCCTCCACGACCTTTCGCCGACGTCCTCCCAAACGGCACACCTCTTCGCAAGCGGAGAGGTACACTCGCGCAACGGTAACATTGCTCCAGCGTCACAGTATCCACGTAAGCAACCACATTCAGCCAGATCGTTCGGACAATCACAAGGTCACACGTCGCGGGATATGCGCTCGCTCACACGTCACCAGCTCCCGCGTCCAGGTGGCTGCAGCTCTTGGAACTGGTTTCTAGTGATGGATCCAACGCTTTCGGGAGTTCCTCTTCTCGATCCGACGGCTCCAAACTACCAAGACCGGAAACAGCTGGAGACCAGCCACGGAGGCAACCGAGGGTACCGAGCTTCCGGTGGGAAGGCGAACCTGTGACGTACTGTTCTTGACCATATGGTTTTGAATACGATGCGCTGGATAAATCTGGAACTTGTGACCGGTCTGAAACAAACCAGCAACATAAATAGTCATGGATCAGGCGCAGACGGACATGTCTCAAGCATGTCCTAGTAGGCTTGGCCACGGTCCGGAAAATGTGCGGACGGGTTAACCGGTCCGGGATTTTGCCGTATAGGTTAACCGAGGTTTTAATCGGTCCCGATGGTTAACCGGTTAACCATCGGGCCGGACCCCTACGTGGCCGAGGGGATTTGTGGCTGGGAGCGTGGGCGGAATTGCGCGTTTGCTCGAGGGCTCAAATGAACCCCCACTAGGAAGGTTCAAAATCTACTTCCCCCCTCACATGGGTTGATCTGCTCTTGTACCTCGTGCTCCTTTCAATATTATAATTTTTAGATTCAATTGTATTTATTTAAAGAATATCTGCAATTAATGAAAACTGAATAAATTAAAAAATTGAAATTAAAAAAATAATTATGAAATAATTTTTAAAAAATCATGATATATTTACTAAAATTGAAATATAAAAAAAAATTTATTGTGAAATTTTCAGGAAATTCTGAATCTAAACTCTATTTGAGTCATAGTATACACTATATAAAAATGAAAAAAATTTAATAAATTTTCATCTTAAATTTCAAAAATCATTTTTTGACACTAATAATTAGACAACTAATCTCTATATATTATAAATTAATTATATTTAAATTCAGAATAGTGTAAAATCTATGCATTTTTTTTATGATTTTAAATTTTATTTTTCCAGGATAGAGAATCTGAAAATTCAATTGAAAATAGTAATAAATTTGATAAACATGAGTTAAAATTTTCAGTAACCATTTCTTGTATTATTGAAATATATTAAAGATTTGAAAGAATTAAAAGTGATAAAAGATTGAAACAATTATTGTAAATGTGTATATTACATAGATGTAAAATCTGAACCGTTCAATATTAGTTTTAGTATGTATCCAGCGTATATAATAAATATTAGGAAGATCTAACGGTCCGATTTGATTTTTTAACTTTACAAAGTTTATAAAACCTGAACTAGTGTAAGAATTTGGAATAAAGACAACTAAGTATTAAAGATATGTAAGTAAAGTTATACGAAATGCACATGAAATGAAATTAAATATTGATTTAAATATATTCTATATGATAAATCACATCTGAAACCAATGAAGACATATAATCTATACTGTAGAATTTTTAAAAATTTTAAAAAATAGATAGATTATTTTAATCTCATTTGTTATATTTTGATTCAATTTCCATAAAATCTTGATATTTTGACACCATCTAAATTACGAATAACATATGTGTTGATTATTGAGAAAAAATGTTTCAATTTGGAAATATATTAAAAAATAAGAATGAAAAATGATTTTTTATTAAAAAAACCATAAATTGTTCTTTCGAGAATAGAAAAAACAATCCCAAGAATTTACATACATCAAATGTAAAATTTAAAATATATTTAAGTACTAATTGGCAAAAAATGAAACCTTGGAATATTTAATTCATATTTAAAACATAATAATGACTTTTTTTGTGGAAAAATATATCGAAATCAAAATTGGACGATTTGAGAAATCTATAAATTATAATAAAACATAAAGCGTTGAAAACAATTTAGAAATCACAAATTGAAGATGAATAGATAATAAATTCAACCTAAATAAACTTTGATGCATTCAAAGATAAAATTGTATATATGAAATATGTCAAAAGTGATGTTTAGCATTTAGATAGACTTCAAAAGAGAGAAGAAAAATATTCAAGTACTAATTGGCAAAAAATGAAACCTTGGAATATTTAATTCATATTTAAAACATAATAATGACTTTTTTTGTGGAAAAATATATCAAAAACAAAAGTGGACGATTTGAGTAGTCTATAAATTAGAATAAAACATAAAGCGTTGAAAAAAATTTAGAATCCACAAATTGAAGATGAATAGATAATATTTTCAATCTAATTAAACTTTGATGCACTCAAAGATAAAAATTGTATATATGAACTATGTCAAAAGTGATTTTTAGCATTTAGATTGACTTCAGAAGGGGGAAGAAAAATATTCAAATAATATTTGACATAAAGTGATACCTTCAGGTATATAATTTGTATTTAAAATAGAATAATGAAATTTTCTAGAGAAAAATATATTAAAATTAAAATTGGACGATTTGAGTATAGATAATATTTTCAACCTAAATAAACCTTGATGCACTCAAAGATAAAAATTGTATATATGAACTATGTTTCAAACACAAGTTTTGAGAATAACTACTCAACTGAATAAAAGAAATAAAAGCGAAACTAAATAACTAAACTAAATAAAAGCCGAACAAAAGTTCCGATAATAGCTTACTCTCGGAATAAACGGTTCCAGCTTTTCAATTCCATCATCATCTCAATGTTTTCATCAGATAATATGGATCTATCACGACGAACAAATCCACTACTCTTAGAAAATGCCGATTCAGACGCCACAGAAGAACCTTGAATCATCAACGTGTTCCTAGCCATCAGGGATTACGTTGGAAAACGATTGCTATGCTGTTTCCACCATAACAATACGTCGGACACACGACGATCCGCTTTCGCCGTGAGCATGAAGAAGTCATCGACCTCGTCAGTGTGTGCAACGTTTTCAATGGCACTGTCTCCCTCTCCAGCAAATAGATCAAATACACCAAAAGTTGGAGATGGCTGCACCTCCGAACACAAGCCGTAATCCATCGTCAAAATGAATCGAAGTTGATCTTTGAGTTCCATCGTTTCAGAGGAAGCATTACTGGATCTAGGATCAAGAAGCAAAGCCATTTTGGAGGCTTGACAATTTAGATTTGCACTATATTTAAGCAACTTGAGCTCCATGGCAGTAGCAGCTTGTTTGACTATCGGAGTGGTAAACCCAGTGTCTAATTGTCCAGAACGGGTTTCTTCACACAAGGTAAGGAGATGCTTGTAGATAAGAGGCTAGAGAGAAAGTGAAATGTAGTCACGTCCACTAGCGGCGACAGTGCAATGATACACAGATTGCAAAAAGTCTTTGCATGATTTGAGAACACGCCAATCCATGTCGGACAAAGCCATATTGGCCAATCGGTCACAGAATTCTTCAGACTTACAAAGCGCTGAAAATACACCACGATATTGAAACGACTGGTCGATCATAGTGAACATGGTGTTCCAACGTGTCTCCATATCCAGACCTGGAACTTCAACACGGCACTTGGAAACGCCCAGCACAATAGCCAATTCTGAAAACTTGACGCGGATAGCAACGGATCCACAAACAGCTTTGAGTATTTGACGGAGCATTTGCACTTCTTTTTTGATGAAATGTGTAGCATCACATACAGCACGATTGATGACATGATAAATGCAGCGTATATGAAAACCATCCTCCAACCGAGGAGAGTATTGATCATTCAGATTCTCTATCACAATGACCATGGCCGGTGGCATCTCTCCGCCGCTGTCGGATGTAATGGCCTTGATCTTGGACCATATGTTGAAATCTTTCACCACTGAGAGAATCAAGTCCGATGTAGTGTGTTGATTGTGTGGAGGTGGAAAATAGCAAAATTCTAGTACAAAAGACTGAAGTTTCCACTCTTCATCAATCCAACGAACTGTAATCACCATATAGCCACGCATCACACGAGACGACCAAAAATCCAGAGTGAGAGTAATCGCTCCCTTGATAGAATCTATAGTTGAACGAAATTGTAGTAATGCTCGTTCAAAATGATCAGATAATGAGCGTGTGAGAGTTTGGTAGTGAGTAATGGGGGTTGAGACGTCGGCAAAATGATCAAAATGTCTCGTTCTCGACCAGGTTGAACGCTTGTTGGTGATCCACCACAAATGCAACCAAGGCATTTAGATTGGCTTCTTTGGACTCGTTGTCCAACTCATAAGGATCCTGCAGTTCACCATTCCACAGCAAAAAAAGTCTGCAGAGGATCGCCTGATTTGTGACTCTTTGAGATATTGTGTTTTACAAGGAGATGACAAGACAACGAGCTTGTTCCAGTTTTGGCCGAAAATGAGATAGTGCATCTACTGTTATGAGAACCTATGGGCTCAAGATAGATGATAAGGGATTTATTAGAATCTTTCACCAATTTGAAATGATTCCAAACCCAACTTGCAGAGGTTTTTGCCTTTCGTTTACGACCCGTGGATGTTGTCGCTGTCCGACCAGAGAGAACAATAGAGTCTTCATGTGTACTTGAAGACGAATATGGAATTGAATCCGCAATGAGAGAAAGGTCTGCCATGTTTCACCTCAAAATTTCTGCATGCATATGACAAGACATATTAGAATATATTCCCTAAACCCTAAACCCTAAACCCTAACTTACTTAATATATAGAAAAGGAATTTTTGGAGTAGTTCAACCTGTAGTGGAAAAATAAACTGCCTCTCGGACGTTACTCAGAGCTTTACAGATAATAAGCAACTGAACACTCTTCAGTCTTCAAACCTGTGCAACGAGTGGTCAAAAATGTTAAAACAAATCTTCATTTT